CAGAAGGGCCGACATCATTTGCTTCACGGACAATGAGGCGGTCCTGTCCAACCTAATCACCGGCAAATCCGATCCCTTCGAGAAGGGTCTACGATGGTCTTCCCACAGCATGCAGGCTACGAGTCGACATGTGCTCAGATTGGAAGCGCCTGATCCAAAACCGTTGCTAGGGGTATGTGCGTTTTGGTCAACGCTATTCCAAGATGTGTGCCTCAATGTGCATTGTGCGGTGGTGAGCTGCATGCCCAAGCCAGCTGCTCACCTTACATGCCAAACCTTTCGTGGTCGCCCCATGTCAAAACACTTGTGTGAATTCGCTCTGCATTGCAACTTTATATATATTCCTTATATGGGAAATATCCCATAAATATTTGAGTGAGTGCTCAAATTTGAGATATGCCTTTTTCGGAAATATTTGGATGTGCGTATGCGAGTTTAAAGAATAAATGACACGGTACTTTCGACACTTTCCGTTTACTGTCGTGTGCTTGTACAATCCCATTGCTGAAACCACCGAAAATCCATGACAACAACAGCAATAGCAACACTCGCACTGAACGCAAAATCAGAAAGCGAAGCGCTGCGAGGTTTCTTATGTTGTAAACAAAACCGACAATCCAGCTGTTCGAGCCCATGTGCTTAGAGAGCGTGGTTAGTGAATTTAGGCAGACGTTTCAGGCGGCAGTGGTCTTTTTTCTTGCTAGCGCATTGTCAATTCTCAATCTCGATAGTAGTGTGCAGCAAACATTGGATGTGAGTTTTTATGAGTCACCATGCAGCGGTCTCGCTGGGAACGGCGAGCCCCAATGGCCAACGAGTAGTCACACCAGATTTAGCCTTTAGCATGTTTGATGGCAATCAACTAGTGTGGTTCGCGACTCAAAACTATTTAATGGAAGCATAGCAATCTTCGAGTGGACATGGCGCATTTGCTTCGGAGCTTGGTCAGCTTCTTGCTGGTGGTGGTACGTGGTTGTGATGATGCAAGTTGTGGAGATTTCCTTCAGGCTGTCTTGGGGCAGACAAAAGGGGTTTGGCTGTGGAATTGTGATCCTGAACCTTGCGGTTAAAGCTCTGCAGTTCTTTGGGGATCTTTGTTTGTTTAGATGTGCGTTGTAAAATCAGCTGTCGCAGGTGGACTTGTCCATGCACTACAGTAGACTGGCCGCAAACGCTGGTGAGCATCCTTGGCCACATGCACGAGGGAAGGCAGGACTTTCCCTGTTCACTGTTTGGATAGCAGCACAAATGTGCATCCCTCGACAAACATTTGGGGTCACAGGTGCGATGAATGAAAGTGAGCAGGAAAGATCAGAAGGTTTTGGCTTTGCTGGTTGTAATTACTCCCCTGTGCCATCATTCTTGAAGATGCAACAGTTAGCTGCAGTTGGTCAGGGTAGGGTATGCCAATGAGGTCTGTTCGAATCACAGGGGAGACGCAGATGCATGTTGCCACCCAGCATGGTATTTGAATAAGTCGATTTGGCAGGTTCCTGGGCAGTACGGAATTACACCCTTGGTTTCCCACTTGCCACCTGGAATGCAATTATGATGTCGATTTGACACGTGTGTGTGTGCGCGCGCACGCCTGTTTTTTTATTCGCTGTACCATGGCACTGGAGGGAGTGCAGTGATCCCCGCATTTCACTTGTCTGTTTTCTTGCCATAGTCTGAGACAAGAGGCTTTCACCCTTGAGCAGAGCCTACGTTAAGTGATATCTTTGTGCAACAAGTTCTCAGCCGCCGAGACCATAGGTATTCCAGGGTAGCTGTACTATTTGGTCAAAGGCATGGTGGGGGGTCGCTGGCTGCCAAGTGGATTCAGCCGAGGCCAGGAGGCAGAGCTGCGAACTGGACCTGGCAGAACCCGGCGGGTTTGTTGGAAGACATGGTTGGAGGCAGCCTCCAAGGGTTTCACCGGCACTTCGAGTTACATTTCCCTAGGTGTTCTCAGGATACTTCTCGCTTTTTAAAACGCAATTTCCTTAGATTGCTTTGAGTTCAGCAAAGGTGGGCCAGTCATCGACAATGACAAGTGCTTGTACTTGATGACTGAGGATGGTCTTTGGAAGTTCTCGCCAAGTGGTGAATTGCTGTGGCGCTATCAAACCCCTGGCCGGTCGGCCAACGAGCCTTTCTTGACTGGTGACACGCTTTTGAGTTCAACCACAGAAGGCAGCCAATTCAACGCAGAAGGGGCTTTGGAGTGTCGTGTAGGTAGTATGCATCCGTACATGGTTTGAGGGATGCTTATCCTAGTTGGTCAGGCTTATTCATTGGGCGTCCTGTGCTAATAGTTCAAGCCAACAAATGTGATTCAAGCCATGTGCAGTAAGACTTTGCTGTAACTATTGCACCAAAGCCAGCAGCACACCAGGCAATGTGTTTGCGGTTGAGCGTCACACGGGGAAGGAGCTTTGGGTCACCAACGTGGCCAAAAACGCCGGGGCTGATGCTGCGTATCCTGCAGCTTTCGGCGGAGTTTTTGTCGTTGCCTCCAGTAGATGGGGAGCCTCTTCGGAGACGACGCCCTGGGGCAACACTCGCATCTTCGGCTTGGCTGTCGGCACTGGTGAGAAGATTTGGGAGTACGAGTCTGAGACGGTGCTTATGGACCTGACACCTCTGTTTCCCGGCGACGACAGCTTCGTCTTCATGAGCCAAGATGGAAGCGTCTATCGTGTGCCTGCGGTTTGCATTTCACTCAATGTTGCAGATGCATTTGCTACTCAATTGCTGGGGGGTTCTCCACCAAGCCATTTTTGTGCACAGCCTCACTAAGTGCCTGAAGTCTACATTATGAGCCCCCGCCTCTGTGTGTATTGTACCAGCCTCTTGTACATCCTTTTGCAGGTGGGCCTGCTGAATGGCACGCTGTTGTGGAAGGGAGCGTCAAACAGCAGCGACAGTTATAGCGATGGTGGTGCAGTGATCGGCCCGAACGGTGTGGTTTATACTTGTGCCTGTGGCCTGCAAGAATTGACTTAAACAACAGTCCCTTTGCACCTGCTTTTTTGTGTTTGGTTCAGGCAGCAACATCGAGCAAGGCTTCCAGGGAACGCCGGGGGTCGTCCGGGCGTTTGGTTTGGAGACTGGCAGGTTGATTTGGGAGCATATCCTCAGAGACCCTTGCTGTACCTTCCCAGCCGTGGGTCACGTGAAGGGTTCAGATGCTTTGGCCGTGGTTGTTGCCCCTGGAGCCTGGCCAAAACAGGGTCTTGATACTGGAAGTGTGGTTGCTCTGGAAGCAGAGACAGGGGCCTTGCTCTGGCAGTTCAATGCAGAGCCCTATGCACCACCATTGGCTGCTGGGGATGCGGAGCGCCTTGCCTACCAAGCGGCCCACCCGGAGGTATCAAAGCGCTTGCTGTGTTCGCTATGCTTGCCTGCGCAGTGGAGTGCTCCAGTGATTACCGGGGATGGCTCTGTGTATGTGGGACGCGCTGATGGCAACCTTTACGTGGTCCACGGAGCCCTGAGAGGCAATGAGGTCGGGGAATTGGCGAAGGATCCAGTCACAGGTATCCACGCTTTGGTCCAGAGCGTTGGCAGTGCACCTATGCATGGAGCTCTGGCCTTCGCTGATGGCATCTTGGCATACGCCACATGCGACTCACTCTATGTCTGGCAGACACCATGACCCCTCACTGCCCTCACTTCCGCATCAGGTATTCAGGTAGTCTCCAGAGCTTTTGCCCTGGTGCCGGTCTAAGGGTTTCGGCCCCTGCAGTGTCCAGGGCCCCAAGAACTCTCAACGACGAACACGTGCAAAACACGCGGACTCACTGCTCCAGAGTAGGATCCACTTCCTCACACAGCACGCCGCATCCAAAAAGCAGGGTGATTGTGCTGCAGACTGTGTGAGTGTGGCATCCTCATCATAGCTCATGCGTTCAAGCAACAGCGTGGGCAGCTACTCCACACAAAGCCGAAGTCCAGCTTTGATTGCTGGAGCCTTGCTTGGGTTGCTCAAGGAGGCAAACACTCAAATCATGCCCTACAACATGAGCAAAGAACTCCACGATGCCTGCCTTTGAAATTCTTAGGGCTCCAATAGTTGTCCTAATTCAATGATGTGACTCCAGAGAGTGCTGAAAATGCAGGTTGAGGTGTGGTGAAGTGATGACATAAGTTTCCAATCACGACGCGAGCTCGGGCATCACAAGCAAGCTAACAGCTGGAGGCAGCATCAAGTGTAACGCAGGCGACAAGTAGATGCACGGACTCCCGCCGAAGCCATGATGGTCAACATGCATTTTGGCAGCTTATGCGCGTTGATGCATTCGTTGGAGAAGTTTTGGGTCGTGTTTTAATCTAGCTCGCGCATCGAGTTGGTAGTCTCAGGTTTGGTGGGGTAGTGCATCAGTCAAGTGTATTTTGCAAGTGCTGTAGCTCCTGGTTCCAAGTGATCCCAGTGCCAAAAGGTGCCCGCTCCGCAAGTGAAGAAGTCTTTTCCCGAGGCGGCCTGCCGCATGCACTTCTCTGGCTGGTGGCCCGGCAGGTGCTGAACGGGACCCGCGGAAGGTGAGCTTACTGTGCTGCTGATTTTTTCGATCCTGCAGGGCCAGCTGTTCAGCGGCAGTGTGCTCTCTTCCCAGCGGTTGCTTGGCTAACTTTCGAACGTTTTGACAGGATAGTTTCGCAAGTTTCTTGGTCTGGAACTAGGCGAAAGGATATCCCAATCTGCACTCCGATCGTCTCCTATCAAGCATTCCGCACCGATTCTTGAGGCATTGCAAGCTGGATGTTTCGCTGAGATGGCAGACAATCCCATTCCATACCACTTCCAGATTTGTCTAAACCAGTCAATGAAGCAATGAAGGCTTGCGTTTGGTGTGTAAGTAACCTCGTGAGGCCCCACGCTTGTTTTGAAGCTTGCCTCAGATGTCCAAGCCGTGCCTTTGAGGTCGGTCGGCGCCGCCTTGAGGCTCGTGAGCCTGACCAGGTCAGCGTTTGAAAGAAGAATAATGTTTTTGGTTCACATATGAGATTGGGAAAGGTGGCTGCGGCCCTGGACCTCCAAAACAGGCCGGAAACTTTCCTGCTGACTGGCACAGTCTTGTCATGGCTGGGTCAGGTTCATGCTCTACCCAGCTCAGCGTCACCTCGGTGTGACAGACGGGCTCGCCGCCGACTAAGTGGCAGGTGGAATGCTTCGTAAGTTTGGAGATGGGGCTGACAGGCGGTTTATTCTCTGATTCGTCTAGCACTTTCCAGACTGACAGATTTGCATCCTTCCGCAACACGTAAGTGTCGCGAGGTGATCGTGCCAGACAGAGGTCGCGTGTGTGTACGTGAGCATCGCGATCGGCAGGCAAGCTTGAGACGCAGGTTGTCTTGTGTCGACGACTTCAGCTCCAATGGTCCAAAGCGTAGCTGCGGAGAGCGTGAATGGTCACATAGGCGGAAGCACCGGAAGCACAGGAGCGGATTGACGCCCTGCAAGAAGCTGAACATCTGATCATGGAAACCTAAACCATGAACACTGAACCCAACATTCGACATAAGCCTGGGGCTTTGTTTATCATCAGCTTTGAAGGCTTTTACATTTCATTCTTTGATTCATAAAACCCTCTCGCTGAGAGCTTTGTCAAGAATGTGGAGTTGTCAGGAAGATTTCTGCCGGGTTACAGGTCACAGCTGCTCTGATGGCTGCGAATGCAACGGCTATTAGAAACTTGCCGAAGGACCACCTAGGGTCGGTGGCCCAGCGAGTTTGCACAATTCTTGTCGTTCAGGAGATCTTTACATGAGCAGCGACACGTGTAGTGATTTTTACTGCAACAAGAGACGTGCCAGCCTTCAGGTGAGCGACGTGACCCAAACACCTCTGATAGCCAATCGGCAGTGCGTTGCGCTCTGAGTGCCCCAAGGGCACCAGATGTGAAAGCAATTCTCTTTGCTGGCCGAAGTTTCTTTAGTGGAGAAGCATGTCCGGACTTCCTGGGAAGGCAAACGTAGAGCGCACCCTTCTGGATGGAAGCTGTCCATCCTGTGATGCAATTGTCTTGAACTGTGGCAGCGCTTTTATGAGAGTGAGCTGTTGCTGAGCAGCCTTTTAGGCTGAGGTGTGGATGCTGTGCCAGTAACCATTGACACCCTAAGCTGACAGCTCTGTATCCCCAAGTTACCTCTGAATGTCCTCCTGCAGCAGAGAGAGAGAGATACCCCAGCACAACGTTTGGGTTTTGTGTGCGCAAACCTGCGTAATCCAATTGAATACAAGCCCAGCCATGCTGAAATAAGCTCTCACTGTCCGCGGCATCTTTGAGGCAAGGCTTTTCAGCCCCATATTGTCCAAATATTTGGTGTGCTCAGGTGGCATGGCCCTCATCTCCACGCAGACATCGCCGGAGACCCAAAACAGGATTAGTGGAAAGGCTGCTGGACATTTTGGAGCAACACAACACGAGATCTGATTTGTTCCGCTCATTGCACTATTTTGTTCGAGTAGAAGCTTATCACGAATCACCTGTGGAAGACCTGCCATTTTCGCTGAGGACTTCTCCACAGCCTGGATGCAATACATGCAGGAATTCGTATTCGCGCAAAGCTGCAGGAAGCTTCAGTAGTTACCGCTTCATATATATTGTTGCGTTGACGAGGTAGGTACGTTTCTGTTTGCCCGCGAAAGCCATAACACATCCCAGCTTTCGGGTTGCCGCCAGGAGCAGATTACCTTAAGTGCTTGCTGCATTATGCGAGCTGGAACTGGGCGGGTCTTGCAAGCCGGGTGTCATTTCATTTCGCAGGCTTTTTTGCAGGGCGGCCTTGACTTGCTTGCTTACACACAAGTACTGAGGTCGGTCCCTCAGCCGCATGAGGCCAGGGCCTTTGTGCTTGCAATCCACACATGAAGCTTTGCAACGTTGGGGTTGATCTGTCAATCTTAAGATTGTCCGGACACACCGATGCGCTCCGAAATTTGTTGTGGATGGAGTTGGGAGCACTGGATGCAGGTCTTCCCAGCTAGCTCTGTGGTAGAACTCTGCGGTGCAGCAGTTCTTCGTACCGCGGAGGTGGGATGTGAGAATTTATGGCTGTTCTGCGTCTCACTCTTGCAACCGCTGAGGACCTGGTTTCAGAGAAGTGCCACACTTGGAGTACATGTGACATGAACTTCGTGTTGAGAAGCTGCGCATACCATGTGGCATCATACTTTGGATGAATGGTCGAGCCCACGTGCGAATACGTGCGAATACGTGCGAATCCGTGCGAACATGTGCGAACCGTGCATCCTTTGCTAGTTGCGGCGAGCTGGAGCAGGGGCAGGCCCAGCGTCCTTGCGGGGAGTTGGCTTGAAGAGTACTTGTCATGCCGTCTTCCCAAAACCAGGCCTGCTTCGTACTGGGCCATGGAACTGCGCCGGAGAGCCGTCGACTTCAGGCCACTGTTCATGTACTTCAGTCTCCCTTCGCCGCACGCCCAGTCTCTAAGCCGCTGCCTGAGTGCCTGAGGTGTATGTCCTCGGAAAGGGCCTACGCGGATGGATAAGCTGCCGCTCAGCCCAAAATCCCAGGGACATTGTATTTGGCAAACGCTCTTAATACTTTCAGCGCCAGGCGTGGCAAAGTCAGGGAGGCCGGCTGCGGTCCCATGATGCAGTCCGATGCAACAGCATTTCCATCATGATGATTGTGGTGATGGCGGTTGTAGTTTTTTGTTCAGGGCCGCGTGTGTCATGAATTTGCAGGAAGTTGGTCACGATGACTGGGCCTCCAGGCTCAGACACAGCAATCGGAGCTGCAGCGGAGTTTCAGGCCATCCGTGTGAAGGTCTCAGGTCTCCTATGCATTGTACTTTGTACAAACCAGGCCATTGCAGGTGCTGCGATGCCTGGTGCCTATGCAGGTGCTGGGCTTTGCAGTTGTGGTTGCATGCGTTAGCTATGCATGAACTGCTCCGTGAGCATCCATGATCCAGCCCTCATGTGCTAGAGTGCTCTGGCACCTGGGAACCGCCTGAAGATACGACATTGCGTTCGTTCCTGCTCCTGCATGCAAGTGGTGCTGAGGTGACACCTTCCAAAGGTCTGGCAGCGTTTCAAGCGCAGCCTGGGGCCTGGGAGTAGGCGGTCAAGGCGTTGAAGGTTGCTGCGAGGGTTCCACATGTTGCAGAGTGTTGCAGCTATGGCATCCCTTGAGCACCAGCAAGCTCTGAGGCTATGCCTGCCATGCCAGCCTGTGGCATGCAGAGCTGTCAAGCCAGCCCCGTAGCGACCCAAAGCGTTGCTTGGCCTGCTTGGCCTTTTTCGCTGCTGCCTCTGTAGGGTCTTTCTTCCTGAGGCGTATGCAGCTTCCATTGGAACACTTCAGAGCCGCTGTGTAGCTTGGGAAGCGATCAGGTCCTGTTTGGCATTTTGTCGCTTCCTGAGACCCAAGGCACCTGCAGCACAGGCTGGGACGCTGCATAGCCATGTTTCCTGCGGTGTGGTGGGCCAAAGTGCTGCTCGGCAAGAAGAAGAGAGCCCTTGCCGTACCAGTCCAGACACCTCAGCCGAGGCCATGCCCGCCACGCCAGCTTGCGGGACAATGCAGAGCCAGCAGCCGATGTGTGGTCAAAGTCACGTCGTAGGAAGCCAGAGTGTTCCTTGGCAGCTTTTGGCACAGTGTCAGCCTCTCAGCCTCGTAGAAAAACCCCACACCACTGAGGCGATACCTACTGGAACTATTGGAACCATGCAGAGCCAAAGCGTCACTTGCCTACAGAGTGCACTGGAAATTCTAGAGAGATTCCTGCAGTCCTTAGGCATTGCATGCCATGCCACCGCCGGAGAACTTTGCGGCCTGGCATGCAGATTCCTAGCAGATGTCACTCCTTAGTGGACCTTTTGCTGCCTCGCCAGCTTTGCCAGCTGGGCTCTGCTGTGATTTTTCTCTCTGAAAGTTTGTTTCTGTTACAAGGCTAACCTGCTCGGTTGCAGGCTCTCCTCAGATCGTTTCAAAGCAATCTGAGGTGGGTGCATGCCAAGTGGACATGAACAGCATCTCCGCCTGCTGGCATGCGACATAAGCGAAACGTAGAGTTCAGGATAAGTTCCGTTCTGAAGTCAAGAGTCTAGGGTTCATGGCGCTTGCCGGGTGCTAGGAGCTATGGTCTGGGACTTTGGGTCTGCAGCTTTAATGGATCACTTTAAGCTTTGAGTCTTTGGGTTTCAAGATTCAAGCCTTGGTGGTTTGGGCTTCAGCTTCGGCTTCGGGATTAGAATTGGATTCGGGATTCACAGGGTTGTTTGTTGCGAAGTGCGGTGTCTGGGTAGTTGTCATGGGTGGCCGATGTTTGACCCCCCAACAACGTGTATATGTGCCTGTTGTGCAACGTTGTAAGAAGACCTACAGGCGGATGACCTCCAGGTACGAAAGGTACATCCAATCACTGGATGCTGGTGAGTCTCTGGTGTTGAGGAGTTGGACTTTGAATGGACAAGCTTCGAACCCTACACCGTACCGTAGCTGCGGCTCAACAGTTAAATGTGATCTCGTTGTTGCAGCCAGAACCACCGTGCTCATGAACAAGCCTTTAGTGCTGGTTTAATGTGGATGGGATTTTGGAATTGTGAATATCTGGCTGGTTCAGGAGAGTGCATGGCCTGAACATGTTGCAAAAAGAAAGTCATACACCACCACTATGCGAATCTTTTAAGGCATCAACTCCAGCCTACTCGCGAGGCCGCCAGACAGAACTTGTCCATCATTGTACAGCTTTATTTAAGCCATCTTGCAGGAAACTCTACTGCCTCAAGCTTCCCAAGTGGTGCAGGCCAATTCCCACCAGGCTGGATCCAAGAGAAGCGCATCATCGTCCTCAGCCTTGCTGCTGCTGAGTTGCCTCCTGCTGCTTCTTTGCTGTCAATACGGATGTTGCCTTGTTACCGCCTGACTTATCCTCTTAGCTCGATGCTGAGCAAGCCAGATGTATCTCAACAACACCAGCTACTGTATCGTTCCTGGCTTGCTATGCTGCTCCTCAAAAATCGACTACGGTTCTTGCTGTTTATCTAACCTTTTCCCCAAGTTTTCTGGCAGTTTGACTGCAGGCAGCTGGGTTGCGGCACTGGACGAGATGGTCGTACGGGCCGAGGAACCCGGGAGCCCCAGGTGGAAGGAAAAATAAGGGTATTTATTACCGCAGCCGGGCCAATGATGTGTAGAGAGCTGGCAGCAGGAAAGGATTCAATCACAGCTGGTGGTGAGGAGTCTCTGAAGAGTGGGCAAGTCACGGTGCTGGAAGAGGCAACTGAAACGGAGTGTGGTGCATTTTCTGGGCTCGCAGAGTGATTGCAGCCAGGGTGCCTTGCTCGAAGTCTTGGGGCACGGTTCCGAGCCTGGGACCCGCCGCTTATACGCCCGGCGACCTAGTGGCAGGCCAACCGACAAAGATGTTCAAGGTTGAACGCTGCGAAATGTAAGACTTAGGTCAGACACGCTCAGTGCGGCAGCCCAGCCTTCTGCGTGTCAGCGCGAGATTTAACATTCGGTCTAAGCAGCCTGAATACCTCTGAAACTGCACAGACCGTTGAAGCTGGCAGTTGCACCATGCATGGAACCAGCTCAGCAACGTTTAGATGGTGGTTTGTGCACTGTGAAACTAGCTGCAAAGCTGCGAAGCTGCCGTACATTGCAGGTCAGGCCTCTGTGGCTGGATTAGCTGCGTTGCACAGTCCGGGCGTCCCTTGGTGTTGGACTCGGAATCTAGGGCAGAAAACGAGGCTTCCTTCATGTTCTTTCCTACAGGTGGCTATGGCCGCCAGTCCTAGTCCTGAGGCGAGCTTGAAATGTTCACAGCAGCATCCTGAAAGCATGCAGACAGAAGGAGCTTTCAGTGCTTTCAGCGGGCATGTGAACAATGAAAGCCAGAATTTGTGCAATTTGACTCCTGACAGGTGACCATGCCAGCGTGCGCTGCAGTGCCATCCACCCGTTCGCGATCTACAAGTGCTCCTCCAAGCTGTAGCAAGCAGCTACCGGGGTGCCAGAAATATGTTCTGTGGCATTTCGGATTTGAGCCGAGTTGCGCACACTTTAGGGGCTGAGCGCATCCCAAAATCACGACAATTTTTGTTTATCCAGAGCAGAGTGTCTTCTTCTCTACAGCCTTTTGAGAGTCTCTCGGCCACTTTCTTTCGAACGGGGCCTGCAGTTTGTTGCAGGCGCCGTCGGTGCTGTTGCCTTGGGCACGGACTCGGCATCCCTGTTCTCTGCCCAGGTGCAGGACAGCTGTGCACAGCTCATGGTCTCAAAAGCATAGAACTGGCTGGGAATGCAGGGCCAAAGCATGATAAAGTATGGATGTGTGAGCTCCTATCATCCGCGGCATCCGGACATACTCGTGCAAAACAAGTGCCACTCTTCTCCTTTGCACAGGGCTTTTGACATTTCTGTTAGGAGTCTGCAGTCGAGCGTGGGGTCTCGGCCCGAAACCTGGTTGTCAACTGCGTGGCACGCATCGTTGGTTCAATTCTAGCCCTACAGCCGGCTGGACAGCTTAACGGGGTGCTTAGCTCTGTGTCAGATCCCGATGCCGGCAGCGAGTGTGGCAAGCCACGTGAGGATTTCGCAGTGCGCCCAGTGAAGGCTCGATGAAGGTGGGATGAAGGGCTCTTGGGCGCCACTTGCAAAGGTACCCTCCGCAGGAGATCACGCAGAATCCGGAGCCGCCAGGCAAGCAGTGGTTCAGGCGCCAAAAGGCCCAGGACCTCCGGGAAGAGGCAGGGGCCTGCAAGAGCATGCGCCACATGCGCCGCTGGGCACATGAATGGGAGGCACCAAAGCGGTACCTGTTGGATAATCGCACGCTCCATGCCGGCACGGATGGTGTCAACTATCGCACGGGACTTATTCAGGGCCCAGCCTTGGCAAGCAGGCAGGCTTCGTGAAATTGAAATGCCTGCCAAAGGGCACTGTGATTTTGAGGATTTACAAAGGATCTCGAGGACATCGACTTAAGCTGCACAGCTTTGTGGGGCTCGGTCATTGAGGCAATTTGGCGGCTACGGCTCAAGCTTCTGCTCCTACACCGGCATGCACTCGGCTGTCAGGGCGTGGACGAAGGAGATGGCTGGCTGTGCGTTTCTGGAGAGCTCTACCTGCCAATGCAGCACTTGTCTCGTTGGGACTGTGCCGACTCACCTGTAGAGGCAATTAGCCATAAGTAGCCGAATGCCTGTTGAGGTTGGCCGGAGTGACGATTCTCACCTTGGAGGACCTCCAAGGTGGGCCTTTTCTGGTCTCTCTCCGAGTCACAATGCGAGGAGTCGCCCTGGGCACTTGCTGGGCTACAAGTGGTAGAGGCTGGCCAAAGCCCTCTTCTTGGCAGGGCTGCCTATCGAGTTTGGTGCCCAGGCCTTTCCGGTGGGCAGCGAGGTGGTGATGCTGGAGGTCTGGCTGAATTCTTGTTCCTTTCCGCTAGCTTACTGTAGTGTAGGTTCCTGCCGACTCTGTTCCCCGCCCCACTGAAACCCCCCCCTCAGCCTTCAGTGGATGCTGCTAGCTTTGCGACTGGGAAGGTTATAGTGCAAGGTAGCCAGTGATTAACTTCTTCATGGCGGCAGTATTCATTTCACATTTCATTTTGTACAATGGGACCAACCTAGTATAGCGTTTCCTGTATGGATGATGCAACAGTTTGCTGTGTCACTGGCGTCCAACCACGCCTTGCATGAGCTCCAATCTACGGCCCTGAGCATGGGAATGCGCCTGTTTTCCATGTCCTAACTATGGGCCCCAAATTGTGTCTTCAAGGTTGTATATAAGGACCCTAGGATTCTCGGCCATACAGGGGCCCATATCATACTCCTAGCGATCTAAACGAATCCTGGCCCCTCACAGGCAGCCATGATGAGGGCAGCTGAGGACTTTGGACCTTTAGCTAAGCATGCAAAGTTAGTATTCTGCGCAACTGTGGCGCGCACCGAGGTGAGCTACTGCCTATGCTTGAAAAAGCTTCACGTGGCACAATCTAGTTTCTAGATACTTTTCCATAGTGAGTCGTCCAAGCGAGCTGCCGGAGGTCCGTTCAACTTGATAGTGCAGTTTGATTTTGCCACCGGGCTGTCTGTGTGCTGATTCTAGGCGTGGCTGCTTTGGACCATAGAAACGGAGAGAAGGTCAGGGGAGGGTTCCAAATTTTGTTGGGGGGTCGTGGGCTGTACCACATCCTGAACTCGGAGCTGCCACGGTCGAGGCAAAACAAGGCTCATTGAGTGATCATGTACATTGTGGCAGAATCAGGATCTGCGCAGCGCCGCGCTGGGCCAGCTGGAGAAGGAGCTCACAGTAGCCAAGGGTTTTCAGATTTGCAGTGAGGGACAGAGCGGTGTTACGGCAGGAGCAGCGGGTAAGGGTCCTTGGCCATGGTGCAGGTCCTTGGCTTACGTCCTTTCTTCAGACATTTTGAAACCCAAATCAGCTGGTCTCCAGGTGCCAGAAATCGCCGCCTCTTTGTTCAGGATCCCACGCTTGGGCCTGTAGCAGAAGCGGTGATGCAATAGAAGGCAATGAGCCAATGCTGGTGCGCGCAACGCCCAGGTCTGGACAGGACGGCTGGATCAGCTTTGTCTCACAGCCCGGTGCCCTGAGTGGCAGCGCAACACCTTGCACACCAACAACGTGTGCAAGGACAGGAAAGCTCCTTGTGACACCGCTGGATTACTCTCCTGATCAATTGCAGAAGGCCAACGGGCAACGCCAAGAAAGTCCTGATGTCAATGTGCTCAGCCAGGTGGCTACCATGATCTCCACCCGACAGCATTTGGAGAGCTCGGAAGGCCCAGTCCCGGGACCTTCTGTGGCAACACAGGTAACCACACCAGAGGAGCTTCGAATGATCCATTGCATGCTTCATGCCTGTTCAAAACCATTAGCTTAGGGAACGGTCTGAATGTTTGCAGTATGCTGCCACTTGATTTTTTTGGCTGCAGGAGCCAGCTGAGGAAGAGCCTCAAGCATTCCTTGTCGACAACCGAACATTTAAGGCATTCCTCCATGGTTGTTCCGTCTATGGTTCCTCCTGTCCACACGACACCTTGTTGCCATGTTGTGGATTGTTGTTGCATGCAAACATCCAGGAGCAGAGACCTGTGTTGCAGGTGTGCATGCACTGTCATGAACAAAGCAACCGAGTGCAGGCGGACTCGGACGGGATTGGCTACCGGGCATCTCCAGACTTGGAGGACAAGGTTTCCAACTACCTTCGTTTCCTTTTGCTTTTGTGCCCAGATGGCACCTAGCAGGTGGTCCCTGCCCGGACGGCCTTTTGGGGCACGCTTGTCCAAGGCTTTGACGACGGTGAGGGCTGGCTGAGGCTGGCGTCAGCTGCTCGGGACATTTCTCCTGAAGACACACTTTTATACATTTTTGCCAGGGTTGGTGCCTACTTCCTGCCGATGAATTTGTCGGGTGTTCAGGTGCTTACGCCCGAGGTGGGACTTTCTTTGCTGCTTGTTTGACCTGTCTAGTAGTGAGTTGGTATTTGTGATAGGCGCAAGTGCCCAGAGCCCTGCTGCCACAGCTGCCGGGCTTTGCCAGGGGTGACTGGGAGTGCGCCTCTTTGCCAGTAGCTTTGCCAGTGGCTGTCTCCAATAGCGCGATCTTCGTCAGCATCGTTTGCAGGTACATATGCATCGACCCAAAGGGTGCGAGCACATACCTCCAGCCAGAGGAAGCGCCTTCCAAGTCCTCCTCCGGTCAGGCCTTGAACTTGGTTTGTTTGTGCTGGACTTGGGGCTCCATTCTTGCCTTTGACATTCGGCAGATTTTATCCTGCACGATCACATGGTATAATTGTGCACGGGTTTGAGTTCCCTTTCGCAACACTACAGCTGTTTCGCAGGCTCAAGAATCGGGGGTGCAGAGGCAACAAACAAGGTCCCCGAGCATCAGACCTGAGCACCTCACCCTCCCGCCCAGCTGACTCCACAACACCCCAAAAAGCCCTACAAGAACCACATACGTAATACGTTACTGAGCCGGAATACGTGCCGAACCGCAAAGCGGGGGCCTAGCACGGTGGCTGATTCCATGGACCAGGCTGCAGGGCTGCAAATGGATACCTTGCATTTAGTCAATCTAGCAGTGAGCCTTACGTGTTACAAGTGATACGTGTTGCTACCGACAGTCCTGTTTGTACCAAGCTGTGAAGATGCCAGGCCGCAGTTCCCCCCCCCTCCATTGCCAGACAGTTTCAAATGCCCAGAAGCGAAGAACCATTGGCAGGGCATGGATTTGCCTGGAGCTGTTAATGAGGACGTCCAGGACGGAGCATGCTATGTACCATCCCAGACTTTTTTCTTTTCTTGAACCGACGTGTGCTTCAGCAGCAGACATATCCTGGCAGGTAGGTGGGCCAGTAGTCGTGTGCGTGTGTGTTGGAGATCATGCATGCTGCAGCTGGATTTTGAATTTCTGGTGGCTCATGCTAGGTGCTAGACTGGGTTGAGAGCATCCCTCGCACTGACCCTTCTGCGTTTTTTTGGTTTCTGGGCTTCGCAAATGTGCATCCTGGTGCGAGGAGCTGGATAACAACGCGGGCGATGGGACAGCATCCAAAGGAGCGTGCCGTGGCAAATTTTAGAGTGTTGCCGCAGGGGAGAACTGAGAATCAAGAGCCATCCGGATTGAGACTTTCCTTTGTTTTTGATGCATTATCTTCTTGTGCAACAAGCAGACTAAGGATATCTCTCCCCGTGGACCTTCGAAGGCAGCGGCGTGAGTCGCGAACATCAAATGCAGAGCCTCCGAGCAAGTTCAAATGCCACGGCCTCAAGACCAGCGTGTGGCATCAGTATTTTCTTAATCAATGGACGATGCAAGATTGAAGCACAGAGGTCCGTCATACACTGCGCGGCTTTGGGAGCACACAGTCTCCGGCTGGCAAGAGCCTCCCAGCAGAACTTGGCAGATCTGCAGGAAAGTTCAAAGATTATACGTTCACTTACTTTCCTATAGGCTGATGTTCGTGCTTGTAATGCAAGTCTTAAGTTCTTGCTGTCCACTGCATGCACTCATGAATCATCACACGCCGCTGCCGCTTGTTGGCGTTTACGTGTTGGCCAATGATCTGCAGAGCCTTCCGCGGGCTGAATGCTTTCATCCAAGGACGCATCATTTTTGTGCTGGGCTGGAAGTGGTGCCCTCCTCAGAGTTGTTTTCAGAGTCAGAGGATGTCAGAAGGCTGCAGGCTGGGAGGCGATCTAGAGTTGCTGTTAGGCCCGTCAAGAAAAAGGGGCCCCGCTGCGCTTTTAGGACCTGAACCACGACTCCAACACGTGCGCAGATGTGTCGGGAGCCCGGGCTGACCTTGCAGGTCTGGGCCGGGAAACACTGCTTCACAGCTTCTGCTTCCGCAGCTTCTTGCTTTTTTGAGCTTTTTGCTTTTGGTAGCTGAGGTCTGACGCTGGCCCGGACACAAAACGAGAGGCATGACGAGACGCACGGGAGCTTGACCACAGCTGTTGTGATGAGAGGTGCACCTGCCCTCCACCTCGCTAACAGCACTTACGCAACTTCAGGTTCGGAGGGGACCTAGACTTAGACAGGGAAGGCAATGCAGATGGCTGGGGCTCAGGATTCCTTGAAGTCTCCTACGGGCCTTCTCCTGGACATAGCAGACTGCGGTGGCCAGCTGAGTTTGGGGTGGGAGATGTCGGGAGGCCTTAATCGGGCAACAGCGGGAGGAGCCGACACACTGATGCAGTCTCTTCAGGAGATGTCAAATTTTCGGAGCTCTTCACGAAGATGTCGCGGGGCAGCATTTCAGGCTCTGTCGCATTGATGGCCTGCCGGCTCGCCGAATTCGCTGAAGCGGAACCGAAACCTTTTGATTTGGGATCTAAGGTTGGCAGAGCTCGGTGGCTCTGTACCTGGAGGTGTTTTGCAGCAGGCATCCAAACTTTTGAACCAGCAGCTTCAAACTGGAATCCTTGAAGCCTCCTTGTGTGCGGTCTTATCAGAGAGAGTCTTTTCTTCAGTTTGTCAAGCTTGGGTCTGCAATGGTCTGCATCTTGCGCTGGCAAGGCAGAGCTCCTTCTCCACGACCACCCATACGTTACACAGGACCTGGGAGAGACCGTCCCCGAGCTCTGAAACCCTCTTTGGAGCTGCCAGGAACGCACGCCGTCTAAAGATGATGCAGTGGGAGAGGAACGCAGCGTAGAGCAGAAGTTCAACTTGTTCCGTGCCCTCATGCATGTCTCCTGCTGCTTGGGGCTGTGCGAGTTCATAATTCACGCTGCTTAATGTGGAGCACTGGATTCTTTGTTCATTTGCCTTGCCACTGCCGGTATCCATTTGACTGCCTTAAACGAGAACGAGGGATATGATATGATATGATATGATATGATATGATATTGTATGATATGATGAGCACGAATACCGGCCACATCCGGCCACAAGTTGGCTTCATCCGCACTTGCTTCCTTCCTGCCTTCCTCTATCCCGATGGAGGTCCTATGCAAACTTCAAGGGAATACGAACCCTAAAACAACAGGCCCGTCATCTGACGAAGGAGTTGTCCAAGCTGCTCGAAAAACCAAAGGTACTCGTATCAGTTCCACCATTCCCTGAGTTTCAGATCCGATTGCTGGCTAGCCAGTCAGAGAGTGAAGACTCGAAAAAGCCCAGAATGGGGACAGGCATGTTGAAACCCAAAGCTCCACGCCAACACCAGGCAACAAATTAAACTGTCAAACATGGCAAACAACGAGAAGCTTCTCGACAAGCATTGAATGCAAGAGTTCAAAGCCAGCTGAGAGGCCCTGAGCAGTTTGGGCTTCCGGGTTTGGTGGTCAAAAGTAGGGCTTTTCTGGGTCGCCACGGCAAGTTGTACAGCTGTTGCAGGCCATCGAGGTTTTCCTCTGCTCCGTCAGTTCGGGCCTTCGCGAACTTCGTGAAGAGCCGAGTTTTAATCTTGAGAAATGAAGTATATTCAACAACTTAGGTACAGAGACGCTGGACCACCCTCCCATGGCCCTGGCGCGGCTAGCAAAGAGAGAGGTTTGTGGCTTACCAGCTGGGCATAGCAGGGCAAAGCCGGATCCGGCCATGTCATTCGCACATTTTGCGCAGTCCGTCGTCTGCTTCGAAGACGACGAGGGGGGTGGCGAGGTTCGCTTTGCCGCTGTCGCAGTCTCAGCCAGTCTCAGCTTTCATCCTCTGGCCAAAGAAGCTCAAGAGAGGGAGAGGGCCGCTTTTTTGAACTCAGGTCGTGCTTTGTGACCGGAAATCATCAACTCAAGGGCAAGCGCTTGCGCGCCTGGTGGTCAGCAGCTGAGCTGTTCAGACAATGTATCACCGCCGGTTTGGTCTTTGCAAGAGGCTACCACCTTCATGGATGAGGAGCTGCAACAGAAAACCTGGTAGCTGGAATTGTTGGACATCACCTGCCAGGAGTTTGTCTCTGTGGCACGTTCTGCTCCAAGGAGCGAGATGATCCTTTGGGCGATACCCTTACAGCCATTTTAGCAATTTGCCGAGAGAGCTTTTTGCCTTGTCTGTCTGGTTCCATGCTTTTTCTGGATTCGCAATACTTCTAATAACTTGTGGTGACATGGCTGGCTGCAGTCCATCTGAAAGCACCAAACAGCTTACTTCAAATGCCTGTGCCGGTGTCTTGTCTGTAGGATGCTGCTTGCTAGGCTCTGGATGCCTACCTTGCGCAGCTTACAATAGCTAGCGCCTCAGCATGGCTGGCTTTGCACAGACAGAATCTGATTTGCACCGTCCGCGCTGTACCGACCTCGCTGCTTCCATGCCGCTAAGGTCCCGACTGTGAAGCTGAACAAGGCCACAGAAGAGGCAGCAGAACAAAGACAGCTGAATCTGCCTTAAATTGTTGAGGCCGTGGCTCCGCGAGGCTCAGGTGCAAACAGCCCACAAGGCCCACGCTGTCCCACGACACTGCAGCTCTTGAGCTGTATGATGTCCCCAACAAGTCAACATCGGTGCTGAAATTGATAACCCCGGCCACAACCTTCATGAACTTGGCAGGGCAGTACCTGCTCTCTCACTCACTAGTGACGGGCATCCAGAGGAGGATGAGCGCCATGGCAGCAGGTGGTTGATGTTTGTGACAGCAACCTTTCAGCGTAAAGCTTCGGACGGGTACCTGGATATTCTTCAGGCCAAATTTAGCGCAAGTCTTTGGGCTTGCAGCGATTTTTGCCTGTGATGCGCTGAGGTTTAGTCTCCCCAGATCAGGCTGGGACCATTTTTGCAACGTGTTGCAACCATTCTTGCAAGAATGTTCGTCATATCATATGCCTAAAATCTTCGGCCGGACATCGCTACCAGCACCTCGGATTGGATCTTAATCTCCTGCTTCCCGAAAGCCTTCAATGACAAGTAATATGATACCATATTAGTGGGTCTTGCGAATGTCTTGCTTTTTCATCGTTGCAGCTTTCGCCAGGCCAACTTGCAAGCACAGGAAGCCAGGCCCAGATGGGTGGGGGGCAAGGGCCTTTCCAAGCTAGCCAGGGAATGCCCAGGTGCTTGAGCATGAAAAGCCTTCTGACTTTCGATTGGCCTGATTGGTGGTTTGTCATACGACGCAGAAGACTGGCTCTGCGCAGGCGCAACTCGGACGCCTCTAAGGAGTCTCTCGAGGAGGAGGGGTTCAGAAGCGATCTGATTTCAGCAGCATGGCTTTGGAATTCCGGCGAACCTTGCGCACTGGTCGTGCCAGGTGCCCCC